GTGTTTTTCTGCATCCACTTGATCATAAACTGCATGAGAGTGGGCCTTGAACACTATTTCTTCAACCTTATTCAAGTACCCCATCTCAAATTTTACCATATATGCATAACACAGGTCAACTCTTTGATTTAATATTTTCCTCTAAAGTTACTCCCACTTTCTTCTCTTAGCCTAACCTTATGCTATTGTCTCCTTGGAATTATAGGCTTGAGAAACCAGTTGTATATGCTTCCAATAAGAGTTAATATAAATACGTAACTAATACAATGCAAATGTTCATCTGTGTGTGGTTGTCCGTCATCTTGTGTACAGCCAGAGGTGTGCGCACCACATTTGACAAAGTTCTACAGTATCATTTTTCAAGGCTAAATAGATTTTAGGTTTTTCTCATGATTGTGTGCATTCTATGAGTTTTAACGCACTTTGAGAGTTTGTGCAACCACCGCCCCAATCAGAATACAGAACAGTTCCCTCAGGCCCTAAATTCCCGCTGCCGCCCTTTGTAGACCTGGCCTCGGGATGCGTCTCCTACTGTTGGGTCATCAAGTTGTTTCCCAGTTTCCTCTTTGATGATTAACCCGCTTCCTTTCAGTATTGCTGTGTTTGAAGTCCTTTGGGACGGCTTCAGATGACCATCAATCTGGGGGTTTTAAGTCCTTATATAAATACCCAGACAAACATAACTCAGTTGGTTTTTCTTCTACTTTAATTCTCTGCCTCCCCCAAGACTTTATACATGTATTAATCATCACTGAGGATATTTTTTTCCATTGATTTCTTTTAGAGAGAGTGGAAGGGAGGGAGAGAGGGTGAGAAACATTGATGTGAGAGAGACACATCAATTTTGGTTGCCTGCCGGAGGTGCCCCAACCGAATCAGGGCTGGTAATTGTTTCTGGGCACAATTAAATGAAGACAAACTTTTAAAGATGGAGTGTCCCTGGACTTGGAATTCTCTCTAACATTTCATTAGTCCCTCTCCATCCTCTCATGGTCAGCAATCCGGCCCTTATGCTAACCATACCTCCCAGTACAAGGACCATCTCTCAGTAGCTGGTGCCCAAGAAAGACATGACGAATCAACCCCTGCACTCTTCAACTGTTCCCTGGTGTGCCTCGGAGCCCTTCTCCGCTTAGCTTTCCAGGCAGTTGGTCCGTGTTAGCATACCAATCGAAATGTATTTGCTATTCTAACTCAGTCTTGGGTTGAGGTTGAAATAATGTCTGCCTCCATCTTGACCTGCTGGGTCTCTAAGCCCACAAGTCTTCAGTCCTCACACCTGGGTTCACTTCTCCCCACTGACAGACCCTATTCTAATACTTACGTAGGGTGGGAAGAGGGTGTGACTAAAAAGGGGGTAGCGCCAAGTATTCTTTGGGGTGATGGAGGTGTTCTGAGTCCTGATTATAGTCATGATTACACAAATTGATACCTATGTCAAAACACATCAAACTATCCACCCCGCCCCAAAAGAAAAGTCCATTTAAAACATGCTAACACTGTTTTCTCTTAGCCTGACCTTATATATTGTCTCCTTGAAATGACAGGCTTGATGAACCGGTTGTGCATGCTTCCAATGTGAGTTAATATGAATACAAGTGAGAGTGGGTGCTGTGATTCCAGAGGTGATTCGAATGCGCTCTCATTTATAAACAAACAAAAAGTAGTGACCGACTTCCAACGTGGGTACCCCACCTCACCGCGCAGGGCACTTGGTATCCGTCTCCCATGAGTGAACTTATGTCCTGACACCACTGAGGCCGGAAGGTGTTAGTCAAGGCAAACGACTGTGTCTAGTGTGTCGCTTTCCCATCTGGGCTGTAGGTGTCCTCTTTTCCTGGCAAGCAGGTCCTTCACAGGGGGGAACTGGTACCTGCTTGGGGGCTCCATGCCTGCCGCATGGCTCGCTGAACTCTGCTCACAGAGGCCTCTCCTTCACGCCTTGGCTGCCTCTGGAACTTGCACCACCAGGGCCTGGAAGAGCTACCTCGCTCCGCTCCTCCTCACTTTTCCTGCTCTGAATCCTGCCCAGCTCCCAGCTCCCTTTCCGCCCTGGCCAACCCAGATGAAAAGATGACTCCCATTTGAATTCTCACAGCGCCTGCTCTGATCTCGACCTCAATCCAGCGAGGGAGGGCCAGTTCTTGGGGGAAGGATGCACCCACACGTAATTCCTTCCACATTCTCAGCACACAGCTCATGGTAATGAAGCTATTGCAATAGCCACATAGAGCCGTGGTTTCCACATGTGGTCCCAGCCGGCAGCACCTGTAAACTGGTTATAAATGCAAACTCTCAGGCCCCCCCAAGACTTACTGAGTCAGAAACTCTGGGGGTGCAGCTCAACGCTCAGTGTTGCACAAACTCTCCAAGTGGTTTGGCATTTTCTGAGGACACTAAATGTGGAGACCCACTGGCCTAAAGTACTGGTTCTCATCCTGATGGACCTGACAGTGGGGGTGGGGCCGGAGAGTCTCCATTTATAACCAGCGCCCAAGCCATGCAGGTGTCGCTGGTGCTGCTGGCCAGTGGACCACACGTCGAGTCCCTAGAGCAGGACCCCAGCTCTCTCTGAGGCTCATCTACCCGCCAGCTTCCCCTTCTCTCCTACCTACACCATCAAAAAGTACATCCCGCCAGCATTACCTTGAAAATACCCAGAGTCTGACCACTTACCTCGTCCACCACCCAATCCTAGCCACCATCCGTCACTCACCTGGATGACTGTGCTAGACTCCCACCTGGTGTGCATCCCACTAACGGCTTCTATGCGTCCCACTAACGACTACTTTCTGACAGCTGCCAGAGTAACCATCTTAAACGTTGGCTCAGCCCTGGCCGGTTTGGCTCAGTGGATAGAGCATCGGCCTGCGGACTGAGGGGGCCCAGGTTCAATTCCGGTCAAGGGCACATGCCTGGGTTGTGGGCTCGATCCCCAGTGGGGGGTGTGCAGGAGGCAGCCGATCAATGATTCTCTCTCATCATTGATGTTTCTATCTCTCTGTCCCTCTCCCTTCCTTTCTGAAATCAATTAAAAAAACACACACACACAAAAAACAATGTTGGCTCATATCATATCATATCATATCATATCATACACACACAAAAAAAATGTTGGCTCATATCATATCATATCATATCATATCATATCATATCATTCTCAGCTCAGTTCCCATCAATGGTCCTACCTAATCTCCAGCATCCCTCTCCCATCTTTCTGACCTAATTTCCTACCACTCTCTCGCCAGCCGTGCTGACCTAAACCACAAGCACATTCCTGCCACAGGACCCTCGCATGTTCTCTTTTCTCTCTCTTGAAAGGGCTTCCCCCACCACATTGCTCACTCTCTGACCACCGTATTTAATTAACACTGGCCCTCCTGCCACCCCCACCTCGTAGCACTGTCATTCCCCTGTATTAGTGATCTCTTATTCTGTAACAGACTGTCCCAAAACTTCATGGCACTGACCACAATAATGATTTATCATTCACTTGGTTTCACAGTGATGACTTTTCATCTCCATGTGTTGTGGGCCAACGATTCAGTCAGGGCACAGCAGGGCGGCTTGCCTCTGTCCTCACTGGTTGGCACCTCAGCTGGAAGACAAAAAGCCTGAGGACGGAGACCATCTGAACGCCCTTCACTCACATGCTGGCTGTCCCCTGAGAGCACAGCTGGCTGTCACCTGGAACCTTCAAGCACGACCTCCCCATATAGCCTGGGCCTCCTCTCAATATGGTGGCCGGATTCTAAGAGCAGGGCCCCCAAGAGCTAGAGAGAGCATCAGGCAGAAACTATGCCCATCACACCACTCTGCCACACGCTGTTTAGTAGATACGGGCAGGGCCCAGACATTTTCTTAGAGCTGCGTCGCTTCCTGCCATAATATGTATCTATTTCTGTGTGTGTTTGTTGTCCATTCTTGTCCAAATGTCAGCTCCTTAGAGCAGGGTCATAGCTGCCTTGATCACCCTCTTTGCTCGTGACCATGCCTGATGCGTAATAGGTGCTCAGGTATGTTTTCTGAGTGGGTCAATGACCCTGTAGCAATGCCTGTTTAATTTGGAAAACAACCAGACTGTTGGCTGGAAATTCAAAAAACCTGCAGAGGGAAACGAACAGTCTGAAGACAGAGAAGAAGACCTGAGAGGCTTCATGAAGCGATGCTCTGTAGCGGAGAATGGGACGTGGCTGATGCTCATGTGCCTTAGTGTCCCCTGGGATTATTCCTGATCTGTTGTTCAGCTGAGAGACTCTTCCCTTCCCAATGGGATGCTGTTTCCCAAGGGGGAGGCCTGAGTCTTAGGTTCTTGGTATTCCACTTAAAACTCAGTGGCTAGCCTGGCTGGCATGGCTCAGTGGTTGACTATCGGCCTAAGAACCAGGAGATCACGGTTCAATTCCCAGTCAGGGCATATACCCGGGTTGTGGGCTCGATCTCCAGTGTAGGGCGGGCAGGAGGCAGCCGATCCATGATTCTCTCTCATCATTGATGTTTCTATCTCTCCCTTCCTCTCTGAAATCAATAAAAATATATTTAAAAAAAAAACACTCAGTGGCTACCTGAGAAACAACAGATGTGATGGAATAGTATTAACAGCTATTGTTTATTGAGTGTGCGCTGGGTGCCAGGTACTGTGTGAAAACTCAGTGGCCTAACTGAGAGACAACAGATGTGATGGGATAATATTAACAGCTATTGTTTATTGAGTGTGCGCTGGGTGCCAGGTACTGTGTGAAACACTTGATGTGCGTTGCCTCTTGATCCTCAAAAGCAATTGCATCCATCTGATGATGGAGACACCGAGACCTAGGGAGATAAAGAGCAAGGGAATCCATGGAGGGGACTCAGCCCATCTCCACAGAGTGACTGGATTCCTGTTATCTGGTTATGCCTCATGTTGTGTTCAGCCGACCACTATATACTGTGTGGATATATATAATTGGAGTCTATGATTTGGAGGTAAATAAACTTATTATTCTGTCTTAAATTGACAGTTCCACATACGCCATATGCAGACTAAAGCAGAGGAAGACACATCACCCAGAGGTACCGAAATGGAGACAGATGGAGTCCCTTGGATGTCGAGGTGCCTCCTACGGGGGTTGGGTAAGTGTGTTTTACTATATATTAACACTGGGTAGCTGAGATGACGTTTTTGGAATTTTAGGAAGGAAGAAGGATATGTGTATCTCTGTGATTCGATGAGAATGGCAGCCATTGAAGTTGTGCAGTAAATTGCTCTTGTCTTCCCAGCAAGGTTGTCTCCCAAGGCCACCTAGCTTCCTTTGGAGACTCTCTTCCCACTCATGGGATCATGGGGAAGCTGCCAATCAAGATGCCTTATTATATATCCCATACCCACCACCCATAGATCAGCCAATGAGAGAACTCTGTTTCACCACCTACTACCAACACTGCCTTCCTGATTGGTTCAGAACTAAACAAGGGATCACGCTGAGCCAGTCAGAGCACTCCCTAGAACTCCTCAGCCAGAGTTAGCATGGAGAATAAATTTACCTTTAAAGGAAAACTGCCCTCGTCCTTGTGGCTCAGTTGGTTAGGCTCATTCCATGCCTCAGGAGGTTGCCAATTTGATTCCCAGTCTGTTTTTAATGTCTTTAGAAGATCATTGAAATACAGCATGGAAGGAGGGGGAAAAGAAATTTTCAGTGGAGAAATCTCACAAATACAACCTTGACCAGGTACTCTAAGTTAACATCAACAGTGATAAGTCATGTTGATAGTATGTACCCTTGAGATGATATGATATGAATGGCTTTACTTCTGTGGTCTTTCTTCCGCAAACATATGACATCAGACAAATCCCAGTGGAGTACATTCTATAAAATACTTGCCCTGACCGGTTTGGCTCAGTGGATAGAGCATTGGCCTGGGGACTGAAGGGTCCCGGGTTTGATTCCGGTCAAGGGCATGTACCTTGGTTGTGGGCACATCCCCAGTGGGGGGTGTGCAGGAGGCAGCTGATCGATGTTTCTCTCTCATCGATGTTTCTGGCTCTCTATCCCTCTCCCTTCCTCTCTGTAGAAAATCAATAAAATATATATTTTAAAAAAAATACTTGATCGGTACTCCTCAAAACTGTCAATTTCAAAAAACACGGACAGCCCGGCCAGTGTGGTTCAGTGGTTCAGCGTCTACCTATGAACCTAGAGGTCACAGTTCTATTCCCAGCATATGCCCTGGCTGTGGGCTCAATTCCCAGTAGGGGGCGTGCAGGACGCAGCCAATCAATGATTCTCTTTCATCAATGATGTTTCTATCTCTCCCTCTTCCTTCCTCTCTGAAATCAATAAATATTCTTTAAAAATTTTTTAAAGGAAATCTAATAAAGTATGCACTTTAATTACTAATAGTGTATCAATGTTGGTTCATTAATTGCAAGCAATGTACCATCCTACTGTAAAAGGTCAGTAATAGGGAGAACACGATATGGGAATGCTCAGTGCCATCTTCACAATTTTTTTCTTTAAACCTAAAACTGTTCTAAAATGAAGTTTATTTTTTTAAAAAATATAATTGACTATTTAAAGCAAAAAGAAAGTATTTTAGGATTTATAACATAAGTAGCAGTAAAAAGTCATGACAAATACAGCACAGGAGAATGAGGGGAAATGGAAATACTCCACCACAAGGCTTTCAGATCACATGTGAAGTGTTCTACTATCATTTGATGGTAGACTGTGATATTAAAGGTGCACATAATAGGCTCTAGAACAACTACTAAAAAATAAAAGGATAGCCCTAGCCGGTGTAGCTCAGTGGATAGAGTGTTGGCCCGTGGACGAAAGTGTCACGGGTTTGATTCTGGTCAAGGGCATGTACCTCAGTTGCAGGCCCATCCCCAGCCCCCGTTAGGGCACGTGCTGGAGGCAACCAATCGATGTATCTCTCTCACATTGATGTTTCTCTCTATGTGTTTGTCCCCCTCCACTCCACTCTCTCTAAAAATCAATGGGAAAATGTCCTCGGGTGAGGATTAAATCAATCAATCAATCAATCATAAAGGATATAGCTTAACAATTCAAGAGTAGATATAAAATGAAATCCTAAAAATAATTCAATTAACCCAAAGAAGGCAGGAAAAAGAAATAAAGAACAGATGAGGTAATAGAAAACAAAAAGCAAGATGGTAGATTTAGCTTTGACCGTATCAAAAATTACACAAGTGTAAATGACCTAAACATTCCAATTAAAAAGTCAGAAGTTATCAGGCTGCATAAAAAGGCAACAACCAACTATATGCTGTCTCCAAGAAACCCACTTTAAGTATAAAGACATATTAGAAGCAAAGACTAGAAAGAGATGCACCATGCAAATGCTACGCATAATACCGTGGAGTGGCTACACTAGCAGGGATAAAATGGGGTCAGTTCCCCAAATGATATAATCCTAAATGTGTATGTTCTTAATTACAGAGCTGAAAGAATTATTCGTGACATGGTATGGGAATAAAAACAAACAAATATGTGAATTGTTTGACACATGGACTGGGAGTTAACCCATGGGATAAATGCCTATAAATTGAATACTGGGTCAAAGTACACACTGATTTAAAAAAAAAAATTTAATATAATTTATTGATTTCAGAGAGGAAGGGAGAGGGAGAGAAAGATAGAAACATCAATGATGAGAGATAATCATTGATTGGCTGCCTCCTGCAAGTTGCCTATTGGGAATCTAGCCTGTAACCCGGGCATGTGCTCTTGACCAGGATCTAACCCAGGACCCTTCAATCCACAGGCTAACGCTCTATCCACTGAGCCAAACAGGCTAGGGCTGATTTAAACTTAATGAATACTGTCAAATTGCTCTCAATGACAAATAGTCAAGAAAAGGAGCAGCTCTGGCTGGTTAGTTCAGTAGTTACAGCATCAGCCTGAGGACCACAGGTTCTCATGTTTGATTCCTATTCAAGGGTACATACCTCATACCTCTGTTGAAGGTTTAATCCCTTGCCTCAGTGGGGGCTCATATTCAAGAGGACCAATTGATGTGTCTCTCTCATATAGATGTTTCTCTCTCTCTCTCCCTCCTGCCTCCCTTCCACTCTCTGAAAATCAATGGGGAAAAATCCTAGAGTGAGGATTAAAAAGAGGAAGAAAGAAAAGGAACAATTGCTGTGAACAAATAACTCGTAAGAAAAAGAATAATAGCTAAGATGTTTTTGAGCACCTACTGTGTGCCAGGCTCTTCCTGTTTATTAATTTTACTCTCATCAGAGAGGCACCCTGCTTCTCTCCCATTTTATAGAAGAAAATTGATGGGGAAAAATCCTAGGGTGAGGATTAAAAAGAGGAAGAAAGAAAAGGAACAATTGCTGTGAACAAATAACTCGTAAGAAAAAGAATAATAGCTAAGATGTTTTTGAGCACCTACTGTGTGCCAGGCTCTTCCTGTTTATTAATTTTACTCTCATCAGAGAGGCACCCTGCTTCTCTCCCATTTTATAGAAGACTGTTGGAGTAGATGGTTATAAAGGGAACTGTGGATGCAGGGAGGGCACACTCCAAATTATGATTCTCCCAAATCCGGGAAATCTTCACTTACACACATTTTAATTTTTCCTGCGTGATTGGGTAGCTTAAAATGGAGACGATGCCCTAGCTGGTTTGGCTCAGTGGATAGAGCGTCGGCCTGTGAACTGAAGGGTCCCAGGTTCGATTCTGGTCAAGGGCACATGCTTGGGTTGCAGGCTCAATCCCCAGGAGGGAATATACAGGAAGCAGCCCATCGATGATCCTCTCTCATTATTGATGTTTCTATCTCGCTCCCTTTCATTTCTTCTCTGAAATCAATAAAAACGTATTTTTTTTAAAAATGGAGACGAGAGGCCCTGGCCCGGTAGCTCAGTTGGTTAGAGCGTCGTCCTGATATGCCAAGGTTTCAGGTTCCATCTCCAGTCAGGGCACATACAAGCGTCAACCCATGGATGCATAAATAAGGGGAACAACAAATCGATGTTTCTCTAAACTCAATAAATTTTAAAAAATTAAAAATAAATAAAAATGGAGACTAGAGTAGCCAATTCATCTTCTGTGTTTCCCTCTCCTGTAAGATCTCTTTGCTATTTTAGCTCCAGAGGCTGGAAACTGCATTCCAATGAAGTCTCTTTATGGACACTGACGTGTGGATTGACAGAGTTTCCTGGCATCATGAAATAATCTTTTTTTTGGTGGTTTCTCAACCATTAGCCAGAAACAAGTGCTTCACCGTTTTTGTGTGGGCACTCCACACGAATTGAACACTGGGCCCTCCCTTTTAAAGGTATTCAATTCTCTGAGTACCCCCCTTCGCCCCCCCCCCCCAGCTTAACTTGTTTCCTTCCATTGTGAAAAGAAAATTCCATGAATGCAGAAGCTGAGACACATGAATTTTTGTTTCTTCTCAAGGTGCTTACCTAAGATGAGCTTTGTGAGTGGAATGCAAAGAGCCATCGAAAGGAATCTCAATCGCATTAGAGCTGATAAGCAGTTATCAGATGGTTGGACTGATCGGCTGGTTAAGTATTTTCCTAAGGAAGCCAAACTCCATAGTGCCTTCGGAGCGGCTTCCCAACTAACCGGGTGTGGCCTGCTAACTTTTGCTTCCATTTTTTTATACTCATATTTTTTTTTCTATCAGCCGCAGCCAAGGCAGGTTTTAACTTTACAAAATTAAAGGGCTGGGAGGTGTCCCTATTCTGTTGCCCACCAAGGCAATCCCTAAACCGCTGAGTGTGATCCCTACTGTAAACACGGGCTCATCTGTTTTCTAGAATGAGGGTTTGGGACAAAGTGAGGTTATTTGCGGAGGTTTCTTCCAAGATACAATCTGCCATTTCTCAAGGTAAAATTCCAAGGCAGATTGCGAGCCACGGCTGATGGGTGCCCCCGAAGTGAAAATTCTTGTGGACTTAAATCAAACAACAAGTCACAACCGCCCCGAAGGCATACTCATCATTTTTCATCAACTTTTTTTTTCCTTCCCGGCGAAAGACATTCTCAGAATTTGAAAAAGCCTATTCACTGGACAAGTCGTAATATTCATCATAATTATAAAAACGACAGGGTTTTAAAAGCCAGATGCCAGCCCAGTGAGAAAGCGCTCGCTAGGACTTGGGGCGGGAGGAGCCGGGGAGATTTCACATCTCAAAGGAAGGGTAACTGGCAGGGAGATTCTGACTCCAATTATAAAGCAAAGACAAAATCCCTCGAATCCTTTCAATTCATCCATCTTCTCCGGCCAAATTGTGTTCTTTCTCCTCCCCGCCCCCGCTCACATTTCCATAAACAATATGGCTACGGGCTGAGCCCCTCGGCCAGCAAATAAAGGCGCAGGGCTAAGTAAATTTGCTTCCCAGCAATTATTTTTGTGAGGTCACGGAGTTAAGCATTAAAAGAAAACTGCTGCGACCGAGGGTATTCAGTAACTGTATGATTTGTGCTGCAAAACTGACAAAAGAACTCAGCCCCCCTTTTACTTTATACCCACAGAAATCATTGACCACGGGCCTTTGTTCCCTAAATTCACCTAAGAGGAGTCTTTCACTCGAACGCCCCTGCATGGCCGCTAATCCCCGCCTGCCGCCGCTTCCCAAGGAAAGTCCATTTGATCTGAGTCTACGCCTGCAAATTATCAGGATAATTATGATCTTTTTTAAAAAATGAAAGGAAAGATATAAAGAAACCTCCACCAAGATCTTTAGCATCCAGAGCAGGAATTAGCAAACTCTTCCTGAAAAGGGGCAAAGAGTGAGTATTTTCATCTTTCTGGGCCTCACGTAATGGATTGCTCAGCTCCATGCTGTGGAATGAAAGCAGACAAGGACATCACTTAGTAAGTGATAGTGACAGCTGGGTTCCAATAGAACTCTCTTTATGGACACCGAAACCTGAATGTATGTAACTTGCACGTGTCATAAAAACAATACTCTTTCGATTGCTTCTCAACCATTTAAAAATGTAAAAACCATTCTTAGCTCCGGGCAGAGTTGGCCTGGGAACTGTAGCCGGCCTTGGAAAAAAACCCTTCTTGGTCTGAGGTGTGTGGATTATATCCCATGGGTCTCCCCACACTCACAGGGCAGTATGGAGGCTTGAAAACACAACCAGACGATGATTTCTGGATTGTAATATCCTATCCCAAATACAACGAGGAATCCCAGGAATCTGAGGCAGAAACTGGACTTCATGCCACATATTCTGAAAAATGCTCATCAGGCTGGTGATTGTACTAGTAGATGAACCCATTCAAATCCTAGGAAAGTCAGCATTCTGGTCGGACAGGGAAAACTCACCCAAGGCCTTCCTTGCACATGTTTCTCATCCTCAGCCTTCCTGACATTGGGGCCAGGTAATTCTCTGTTGTGGCGCTGCCGTGGGCACTTAGGGTTTGTTTAGCAGCATCGCTGGCCTCCACCCACGAGGTGCTAGTTGCATCCCCCAAGTTGTGACAACCCAAAACATGTGCACGCATTGGCCCCGTGGGGGACAAAATCATCTCCAGTTGAGAATCACTGACCGAATGAGTTCTCTCAATAGAACTTTCAGTGATAATGGAAATGTTTTATAACAGGACTGTCTACAAACTATTAGCCACTCATCAGTACTAAGTACTTGAAATGTGCTAAGGTGCCTGAGGAGCTGAATTTTAAATTTTATTTAACTTTAATTGCTTGAAAGTTAAATTTAAGTAGCCACATGTAGCTGGTGGCTACCATACTGAATGGTGCTGCTTTAAATTATTTTATTTTTATTTATTGATTTGAGAGAGAGAGGAACTTTAAACTATTTTATTTATTGATTTGAGAGAGAGAGGAAGAAAGACAGAGAGAGAGACATTTTTGGCCAGCTGGTGTGGCTCAGGTTGAGTGTCGACCTATGAACCAGGAGGTCACGCTTCAATTCTCGGTCAGGGCATGATCCCCAGTGTGGGGCATGCAGGAGGCAGCTGATCACTGATTCTCTCTCATCATTGATGTTTCTATCTCTCTTTTCCTCTCTGAATCAATAAAAATATATCTACACTAATAAAAGAGAAAGATGCAAATTGACCATACCTTTGCGACACCCACCAGCCAATCAGGAGTGAGTATGCAAATTAACCCAACAAAGATGGTGGGTTAATTTGCATACGCAGGCGCTGAGCGGCCAGGGACGGGGTGGGACACTTGCATCGTCGCTATGGCAATGACTCAGGCGTTCTGCACCACCCAGCAGCTCCGGGCCTCTAGGCAGCATGGGAAGGCAGAAAGGCAGCTATGGGCGGGAACAAAGGCAGAAAGGCAGCTCTGGGCTGGAATAAAGGCGGAAAGGCAGCTCTGGCCAGAGCGAAGGCGGTGCCAGCAGCCAGGGGAAGGAAGGCCCATTCTTGCACGAATCTTCATGAATCGGGCCTCTAGTATATATATAAAAGACATTGTTATTCCACTTATTCATGCATTCATTGGTTGCTTCTTATATGTGTCCTGACAGGGGAATGAACCTGAAACTTTGGCATACTGGGATGAAGCTCTAACCAACTGAGCTACCTGGCCAGGACCTTGAGTCTTATTACTTTAGAAGCCTCATAGAAATGGAATTATTCAATATTTGTTTTTTTGTGATTGGCTTATTTCACTTAGCATAATGCCCTCTAAGTTTATCCATGTTGTAGCATATGACAAAATTTCTTACTTTTTAAAGGCTGAATAATATTCCAGTGTATGTATTTACACGTTCTTTATCCATTCATCCCTTGATAAACATTTAGGTTGCTTCTACTTACTGGCTACTGTGAATAATGTGGCAATGAGCATGGGTGTGTGAGCATCTCTTCGAGATGCTATTTTTAGTTCTTTAGGATAAATACCCAGAAGTGAGATCACTGAATCATATGATAGTTCTATTTTTAATTTTTTGAGGAGCTGCCATACTCTTTTCCATAGTGGCTATACCATTTTGCAATCTCACCAGTAGTGTATAAGGACTTCAATTTCTCAACATTTGTTATTTTCTGTTGGGATTGGGGGTGATAGTGGCCAATATAATGAGTATGCAATATATTTCTGTGGTTTTGACTTGCATTTTTCTGATGATTAGTGATGTTGAGCATCTTTTCATAGGTTTGTGGACCTTTATATGTCTTCCTTGGATAAATTTCTACTCAAGTCCTTTGCCCATTTTTTTAACCAGTTTATTCATTATATATTCTGGATATTAAGCCGTTATCCAGTATACTAGAGGCCCAGTGCACAAATTTGTGCATCAGGGCAGATCGGGGCTGGGCCTGTCAGGAGGAGGAGACAGCGGGAAGTTGGCTAGCCGGCCCACCCCGACTGGGGCCCGATCAGGGCCGGGCCAGCTGGGGGGAGGGGCTGTAGGCAATTATCCAGCGGACTCCACCTCCAATTGGGATGGGGGAGCCGATTGGGGGCAGGGCCTGCTGTGGGGAGGGGCTGTGGGCAGTGGGCCAGCCAGCCCCGCCCCCAAATGGGGTCAGGGGGACGATCAGGGGTCAGTGGCTGAGGGAGGGGCCGGGGGAGGTTGGCCGACCAGCCCCACCCCCGTTGGAGCTGACTGAGGGGTGGGGCCCTGGGCCAATGGGGGTGATGGAAGCCCATCAGGGGTGGGGCTGTCTGGGGGGAGGGGCCACAGGTGGTTGACTGGCCAGCCTGTCCCTGATTGAGGAGGGGGTGCCGATCTGGGGTGGGGCTGGGCAGGGAGAGGGGCAGGAGGTTGGCTGGCCGGCCCACCCCCTAATCGGGCCAGTTTGCTGGCCACAGTGGGCGTCATAGCAACCAGTTGTTCCAGTCATTGCGGCATTCCGGTCGCTGGCTTTTTATATATATAGATGATTTGCAAATATTTTATGGCTAGATGTTCAGCAAGCAGTGAAATGATCAGATTGGTGGTTTACAAAGATGATTTGTACCAGTTCATTCATCCTTTGTTGTTTATAAAAGGACAGAGTTGATTATGGTACCTATGGATTTCTTTGTATGTTCAATTCATCAACTAGGAATGCTATGGTTTTTAAGAATATTAGCAGTGGCTAGAATAATGATACATTTAAAGGTATATGTCACCATATGTTAGACACTGTCTTAGCATTTTATGTACTTTAAACTCATTTAATCCTTCTGTGATTACTACCATCCATCCAATTTTATAAATGCAGAAGCTAAAGTATAGAGAATTTATGTACCTTGCCCAAGATCACACAGCTAGTAACTAATGGAGCTCAGGTTTGAACCCAGGCTTCTTGTTCTCAAGTCTGAGTATTTAACTTACCACAGCACTACAGTGCGTCTCTGGGGCAGCTGGCGATCTTTCTTCCTATCTGAAATCTCTTTCCTAGTGTGTGACCCAAGGTAGACTCTCAGCCTCATCATTCTAAAATCAGGTTGTTTAATTAGATCGATTCCCTTTCCTTCTAAAAAATCTGTGATGTTTTGGCCACATCTCCCTTACCAGGCATTTAGAAACGGCTTTCCAACTCACCGTCTCATTTAAATCCTCCCAGGGAGGCAGCTTTACTTTGAGTGATTTGGGGGACAGATTTTGCAGTCACTCGTTCCTGGGTTCAAATCCCAGCTCTGCCATTTGGAGCCTGTGTGACCGTGGGTAATCACTTCACCCCTCTTAGGCCCGGGAGCCTCACCCATTACATGGGCGCGCTTAACTGACATAATGCATTCACTCACAGCACCTCGCTCATAGTTTACACCCAATTAAATAACTGTCAGTCACCATAAAAATAAATAATAATTTAAAAGTCAGCCACATAGGTATCACATTAGGAAATCTGAGGTCAGCGACAACGAGTGACAGGATGGGCTCAGGACCACATGGTTGCTAAGTGTCAGACTGGGACTTCACTCTGGCCTTGTAGCACTAAGTCTTGCGGTTGTTTCTCCCATATCTCCCCAGAGGACCTAGGAACCAAACAGACTTCACGTATGAATTACTTATCCAATCGAATTCTGGATCAACCATAACATCTTGCATGGAAAATATATAATTCATACACTTTTCTTGTTCTTCATATTTCATTCAAGGGAAATATACATGTGCAAGTTAAATATAAATTGCATGCCATTAAAAGGAACTATGAAAATCAAATAGGGATTGTGTAAAATGCTGATATTACAACTTAATGGCAGTGAAAGATGACAAGCTAAGATTTTTTCATTATAAGATATTTTTATTGAGCTAGAAATGACATACAACAATGTGTAGGCTTTGGGTGTGCAGCCTGCTGGTGTTATACATTTACATATTGCAATATGGTTACTGCCATAGCTTTTGCTTACACCTCAGTCACACCACATAATTATCCTTTCTTTTTTGTGGTGAGAACATTGAAGACCTAATCCCTTAGGAATTTAGAAGTACACAATGTAGGGTTGTTGACCAGTTGTGAGATTGACCAAATAAAATCAGGAAGGGTCCCTATAAATTGTGACATATGGGTTCCCCTTTATTTTTTAAATATATTTTTATTGATTTCAGAGAGGAAGGGAGGAGAGAGATAGAAACATTAGAAACATCAGTGATGATGAGAGAGAATCATTGATCGGCTGCCTCCTGCACGCCCCCTACTGGGGATCGAGCCTGCAACCCAGGTATGTGCCCTTGACCAGATTCGAACCTGGAACCCTTCAGTCTGCAAGCTGACACTCTATCCACTGATCCAAACCGGCCAGGGCGGGCTTTCCTTTAAAAGAAACAATTCCCAAATGAGAAAGACATGAAGGATTCAATTATTTCCTTTTTTCTTCAAATTATAGATTCCATGAAATCTGAAGTGTCTGCCCTCATCGCAGAGGCTGGTACGCTTTCCATCACTAATAGAAAAACCCTCAGTCTTACATGAGGCCTATTTGAGGAAGAATGTTGACTGATTAGTAAAATACTATTGCATTTATTTGTCAAGGAACCCTTCTCCCTGCTGAGC